GTGGGGCTGGTCCGAGTGCGTCCCTCACAGCTGTCCAGAGAGCTGCCCCCGTTCACCTTGGGACCTTGGCCTCTTGGGGTCAGAGGACTGGCCAGATGGTGTCCTGTTCCTGGACTGCTGGGCCCTGCCCTTCAGTGAGGGGATGGGCTGGCTCAGGGCACGGGGAACACCCAGCTTATCCTTCCTCACGTGTGGGTCCCGTTCTGGGCACGAGCCCCAGGTGCCCAGGTGTGAGGGAGCCCAAGACGGCGTCCGTCCACTGCCCCCACCCCCGGCTGCTGGGGGCCATGGGCGCGTGCCCTGAGCGTTTGGCAGCGAAGGAAAGGAAACGTCAGTGTCTGTAACAGCCCGCAGGCCTGGGGTCTGAGCCCCGCTCCCTCGTGGAGACATGTCACATGCCCTCGGCCCCCCGGGGCAGCTGGCCCTGCCCACTGGCTTGTCTATCTGAGGGGAGTCCTAGGGGACAGCCACGGTGGGACCACAGACTTCAGTTCTGCGGAGTGGCCGTCAGCTGGGGGCCTCTGGCTGCCCCTGCCCGATCATCTGCTGAATCAGCCAGGGGTGGTCATTTACCAAATCCACCGAATCCCTGGGCGAAAGACAGGGTGGAAATGACCGATTCGCCCGGATCCCGGACGTCGGGGACTGAGGCTTGCTTGGCACTGATTCAGTCTCCGAGGACAAGTTCAGAGTGGTTTCCCGGGGTGTGTGGCTGGGGTGGGATGGGGTAGCCATGCCTGGGGGCCACCTGTCCACTCAGCGCCCAGAGCCAGACAGGATGGGGCTCACACTGGCTTCTTGACCTTGTGAGTGAGTCCACAGCGCCGCCACACCTGTGACCGTGAGGACTGGAGCCTGTCCACCCCGAGGAGAGGCTGATGGGGATCTGGGCAGGGGAATTCGGAAAGGCGGCCGGAACTGCCCTGAGCCTCCCTGATCTCACTGGGTGGCCGGTAGGCGTCCACGGAAGGGTTACGATCGATTCAGGATTGGAGCCATGTGGGGCTGGGTCTGCCCCGTGGAAGGGCGCACTTGTCCCCACTGTCTCCAGGACCATCCTCCACCCTGGCCGGGAGGGGGCAGGGCCACTGCCTGGCTCCTGGGGACTCGAGTCTCAGCGCAGGAAGATCTCGTCGGGGCTCAAGTCCCCTGGTGTCCCCACTCCTGGCAGAAACGCCCAGGCACCTTCAACGAGGAGCTCCGGTGCCATCAACAGAGGATACGCAGCTTTGGGGCTTGGGGTGCCACCTCCACGATGACAGTCACGCCCTGAGTGAGGCCCGGCCGGCAGCCTACGTTTCCACAAGATGTGTTCTGTGGCCAGCAGTCGGCCTTGAGATCACATTGACCTCCCACACTTTCGCTTTCTCTGACGGACTGAGACTACTGCTCACCACTGGGGTGACCTGGTCTGCAGTGCCCGCCCCCACACCTCCCACCCAGACCAGCGCAGTGAACGGTGGACAGACGCCCTGTCACAGGAGTCTCGGGCCAGGAGGGCGCTGCTCTCAGCCGTGGGCAAGGGTCCCCTCACGCAGGACCCTTCTGCCTCTCCCCCAGCTCAGGAGGCAGCACTGTCCACGGGCTGCTGTACAGAGAGGGCTGAGGGCCATCAGAGGGCAAGGATCCGGCCACCTTGTGGGTGTCGAGGGGCAGGGGCCGCAGACACAGGGAAGGACGTCTGAGCGGAGGGGCCCAGCTTGGAGTCGTGTGCCGTGGCGGCCCCTGGGGCTGGGCGGGCTGGGGTCCAGCCTGGGGCTTCAGCCTGCGTCCACTCTCCACCCCACGATGGCAAGAACTCAGTGGGTCCCGACGCCATCAGAAGGTGATGTGTTTCGTGAACTGCCCTGTCGTGCGCTGGACAGGCTCCTGCCCACACAGAGGCCCCACAGGAACATTTTGCTGACACTCTCCCAGAGTGACGTGGGAGTCACCCTGGTGCCGCCGCGGCTTTCAACAGGTCGTGAAGGACAGGCGCGGAAGCATCCAGCGCAGCAGACACCGCGCGCTCCTGCCCCTGCCGGCCTCCTGGGATCGCTGGTCCTGGCTGGGCGTTCACTCCGCCTGCCCCGCGAGGCAGGTAACTCACGCCTGGGGCGCTTCCCGGCAGCTGTGTTTGCGGCTGCTTCTCGACAGTCGGCAGAGCAGACAGGGTAAGAGTTTTAAAAGAGCTCAGGGGACACTTTACGAAAGAAGCGAGTTGGCCCTCATGCCTGGCTGCAAATCCAGGGCAGCGGAGCGAGCATCCCAGGGGGGTTTTAATTTAATCGGCCAGACACACGTGTTTAAGAAGTCAGAGTGTCCGCACGCTGATTCAGAATCTGAACTCTGCCGGGGTGCCACGTTCCACGCGAGCGTCTTCCGAGTGGGAGAGACTTGGTTCCCCCGCATCGTGTTGGTTTGTCGGGGCTGCTTTTAGTGACAGCCCTGCCTCTCAGGGCTGGGGCCTCTCGGGGCTGCTAGCGTCCACTCGCCATCTCTGGAGGATTCTGGTGGGAACCTGCTCGCCAGCCCCGTGGCGCCGTCTCAAGGAACTGTGTCCTGAGGCTGAGGCCGTCGGTGCCAGCCGGCAGCACTGCTTCTGGGAGACGCCGTCCCTCCCACAGCCACGGCGTTGAAGCTGTCCAGGCTTTGCAGTGGGAAGTGAGCAGGGTGCGTCCCCGTCGTGGGTGCCGGCCCACTCTCCCCTGCCCGCCGGTGGGTGTGAAGCTGCGTGAGGCTGCACACGGAGCTGGCTGGGGGGCGGGGCACGGGAGAGCCCCCTGCACACACTCAGACGTGCCCAATCTGGGGCCCCACCTGGACTCTGAACAGCCCCTGGTGCCATGCTCCCTGGGGCCTGGGGTCCCCACAGCGTGGCACGTCCAGGTGGGGAGCCTGCGCCCCCTCGCTGAGGAAGGACATGGCTCAGCCCGAGACTCAGCTGCTGCCGGGCACCTGTGGGTACTCCACTGGTGTGTGATCAGCACGCGAATCAGACGCCGCACAGAGGGCAGCTGGCTTCTCATGTCCTGCAGCAGCCAGCGGCGGCCTTCGGCTGAGTGCGGCCCCAGGACTCCAGCCCCCCGTGCAGAGCCCAGCCTGTGGTGCTCTCAGAAAAGAGATGCCTGTTCCGTGAAGGGCCGTGAGTGTGTGTGGGCATCAGCCCTCAGTGTGGAGGTGGCCTGGCTGATGGAAACCCACCCAGCGGCCCCCACGGGGCACCCAGGGTGAAGACGTCCTGTGGTCTCTGCAGGCTTGCCCGCCTGCCCCCACCCACGTCCCACGTCAGCTTTGCTGGGCTTGTCTGGCCCGGGGTGCTGGGGGTGTGGGGCCCG